AAAAACCAAAAACAAAAAACAAAACAAAAAAAAAAAAAAAACAAATTAAATCAGTTTCATTGCCCTTAAAAGTGAAAGATCCAGTAAGAGTCAATTTGCATAATCCCACCCACACAGAGCTGGTGTCACTGGCAGGCTACACATACAAGTCTTTTACTCTATTCAAAGATTCAGAGCAGAGCAGATACACATTTTTAAGGCCTCTGGGCTCTGCATGGAGTGCTTGCTCTTGCCATATTAGTTCTGGCTCTTAATAAAGTTCATTTTCCTAACAATATTTATTGACTATCTAGCATGTACTAAAGACTATACTAGGCAGTGGAAGTATAGCAAATAATAATAATAAGCTAAAAGCCCTCTCTCCTGGGTATTTGCTCCGAAAGCTTACTTTCAGATAAATGAGGTCAAATACATGAACAGAGGGTCGTGGGTATAGAAGAGAACCCTGGGATACAGACAAATTGCTACTGCAGGAGCAGGGAAAACAGCAAGTCCTCCTCACAGAGCACCAGAACGCTGCCAGAACCCAGCCCAGGATACATAGTGAATTCAAGTCCAGCCTAATCTACATAGTGTGACTCTGTCTCAAAAAAGCAAAGTAAAACAAAGCAAAGCAAAACAAAGCACAGAAAAGAAAAGAAAAGAAAAGAAAAGGAAAGGAAAGAAAAGAGGGAGGGGAAGAGGAAGGGGAAGGAGAGAAGAGAAGAGAAGAGAAGACAAGAGAAGACAAGAGAAGAGAAGACAAGAGAAGAAGAAAAGAGAAGAAAAGAGAAAAAAATATGGTGATAAGAGCAGAGACTCAGAGCTAGATCTCCAGGGGTTAGATACTAGCTCTTCTTCTTACCAGCTGGGGTCCTGGCAAGTCCTGCAAGCCTGCTTTACCAGTTCCTTGGAGTACTGATGTTAGTGACAGAGGTACCATAAAGTCTTTCTCTCCAGCATTCTCAAGTCCCTTCTCAAGATCTGATCTTCTTCTAACCATCAGACGTCTGCTGGGTACCTACTATGCCAAGCACAGTATGAAGTACTTCTACCCCACATCTCTTTCTCTTTCAACCTGACATTTCTGCTCATTTTGTAGAAAAGTACACCAAGGTTCAGAAGAAATAACTTACCCAAAGTTGCTTTTGCAGGAGGGTAGTCTTCTGACTCCAACATCAGTGCTCATTCCAAGACCCCAAATTTTTGCTGGTTTTTGTTTTGGTTTGTTTTGGTTTGTTTCCTCTCAGCACGATGAGTCTTTGGAGAAAAATCTGTGGAATCTCATACACAAGAGGGATTTTTGTCATTTTTTTCAGTGATGGGTATTGAACCCAGGGCCTTATACATGCTAGATAAGCACTCTACCACTGAGCTATAAGTCCCATATGTGCAAGTCTTATTCTTTCAGCCTTGTTACCAGCACCATGGTCATCATTATTTTCAGCATCTCATTGGGAGATGATCATCTTCATTGCTGCCATTTTATAAGCTGGGATTGTGCTAAACATGTTATATCCATTGCACCCTTTACTCAAAATGACCATTAAGAAGCCAGGTGTGGTGGTGCATCCCTATAATGCTTGAACTTGGGAAGCTGAGTTAAGAGGATCCCTGAGAGTTCAAGGCCAGCCTGGGCCACATGGTGAATTCAAGTCCAACTGATCTACATAGTAAGACCTTCTCTTGAGGAAAAAAAAGAAAAAAGAAAAAAAAGAGATAGCCACAACAGCAGAGACTTTGGACGAGATATCCTGGGTTTAGACATTAGCTCTACTTCTGCCCAGCAGGGTGAGGGTGATGTTAGGCTGAGTCTCCTGCCCATTGACAGGAAGTCAATGTCATCTAGGTTGAACACAGACCTACTTCTCTACAAAACTCACGTCTTCCTGCCTCCCAGAGGCCTGCATGTCTTCTAAAAAGAGCCCTTGAGAAAATAATTCTAACATCTTCAGAGGAGCACAGGCATCTGCAATACTACAGACCCATGGATAACATAGCATGAATTTAAAACTCAAAGTAGGACTAGTAAGTGTACATCTGGCAACAGAAGCAAAGAGAAAGAAACAGGCCACGAGGATACTTTTGTGTCTCAGGTGAACCTGGGAGAAATCAAAGAAGGTGGCAGCTCTGAGCCATTAGCAACCAACATTCACCAGCTGGGGAGCAGGTATCCTGACCCTTGGCCCAGCAAAGGGGGTCTGGACCAGGCCACAGCATTAATACACATGTAGTCAAATTGTGCATGACCGATGTACCCTCCAACCAGCAGGCCAGTCCCTTGCCACTGACCCTGGAGTTGCTGGCTTAGAGTGATAATAAAAAGGAAACCCCTTTGGGATCTATCTTTATATTCTCTGCGTTCAGTGCACCCTCTTCTTGCATGCACACCACTGTTGGTGCCCCAATGCACACTAGGGCTTCCTGAGCAGAGGAGAAGCCCAGGAGTCCTTTGTAGGGGTGACCAGGAGTATATAAATGGCTCCACACTGCCCAAGACTCTGCCTGATCCACTGTCCACAGAAGTACCCATAAAAGCCACCCACAGCCTTCATCTGAGAACTCATCTTCAAAGTTTTTCTCCACCTTCAACCCCAATCTCACCTTCAATGAGAGAACAGAATCTTTTTCCCCAGGAAGAGTAATTCAAGTCACTCTCAGTCTGATTGCTTCACTCTTACTTACAAAAGCCATTTTAAAAAATCAAATATCCCTACTTCTAGCCTTGGAAGAAATGAGAATTGAGAGAGCAGCATTCTGATCTCAACAGTCAGTGAGTTCTAAAATTGTGTCCAAATGGCTCAAGGATGATCTCGATGGGAAGACGTGGGAACTTGAAAGGTGTATTCTCAGACATCACCCCAGGACAAGTGGCCCCTGCATCTCAGGAGAGAAGATTGTGGTATTTGGAGGTGTCACTTCCCCTGTGGACATATTTCAGACTAACTCACTGCGAGGGAAACTGCAGCTGCATTTATTAAAAAGAGGACTCCTTGGAGGAAAGATCTGAGGCTGAGGCTGCTTCCGCACAATGTATCCAGGGGCCCCTGCAGAACATCAGCATGAATTCAGAGACAAAGGGATTCAAGAAAGGCACACCTGTGTGACTGCAAACCCCAGAGTTGAGACAAAGCAGGAATAAGAAAGGGATGCAAAAGCTCTGTCTGAAAGGTGAGTGGAACTTTATGGAAACAACCTTTATAAAAAGATACCAAGGGGCTGGGGATTTAGCTCAGCGGCAAAAGCGCCTGCCTGGCAAGCGCAAGGTCGTGAGTTCCGTTCCCGGTACCGGAGAAAAAGCAAAAAAATAAAAAATAAAAAATAAAAAATAAAAAGATACCAGGTTCCCTTTTGTATGAAGGCTCCATCAGTGAAGAACTTCCTGGGCTACTTTTTCAAATTGTTAATTAAAAAGAAAAGCATCTCTTATTTTATTTATCAAAACACTTCATCATATGAGCTCCCTAAGCCTATCACTTAGAATGGAAACCTTAAAAGTTTAAAAGGTTCTAAAAGTGAGGGCTTGGGGAAGAAAATGTATTCTTTCTTCTGCCAAAAATGCCTTTCCCATTTTTTAATCAAAAGTACAAGTTACCTCCTAATGCTGGTGTATTATTTCCCAAAATCACATATGATGGGGTTAAGGAAGTTTGAAAAAAGAGTTTTGAAGTTTTCTAAATGCTCATCATCTCTATAACCGCTCAAATCGGGCTATTTTTTATAATTCCTTTAAATTAAATATCTTTGATAATAAATGCAAATTAGGGAGCAATAAATTATAACTTCTAGGCTGACCAGTGACTAATTATATATATTATAATTAACTCCAGTTTCCTACACAAGGTATTTATCTTAATAATCATCCCATACCATTAGCATATCTTAAAGGGATTTTGTAAAACAGGGTTTACCATTTGAAAGGGTAAACCTTTGGGCTATGAAAGGGTGCTGAATCAAAAGAGATGAAATTACTTTAAAAAGAAGTTTGGGTTAAATATAAGTTCAGAAACTCAGATTATAGTCATAAAACCCTGACTTAAAAATATTTTTCCTAAATCTACCCCCTGGCCATCACTAAAGAGCCTTTAGGTTCTAAAAATCTACAATTTCCACAAATCCATTCAAGACAGCTTGAACCCTCCAGGATCCAGTGAACACACGAATGGAAATGGGGGTTAGGACGTCAGCTGGAATTTGATGGAGGGACATGGTCAGTTTTCAAGAAATCCCTCACCCTGTCCATGAAGAGCAATGGGAAGAATCAACAGTCGGTGGTGCCAGCCAGAATGAAAAGTTTTCTGAGTTCATTCCCGTAGGACCTGTTCTTACGTATGTTTTAGAAAGGTAATTACTTCTCCGACCCACACAAAGATGAGCTGTAGGAATTATAAATGAGGCAAGGAGAGCCCATATCAACTTTTTCAGGCCCAGTTAGCTGCTGACCTTTTGTAAGAAAGTTTTTCAATTGCACTTGCTGTAGAGCTCTGGGGTGCTCCCAAAGAACCCATAACAATGACCCAGAGGTGCTGCTTCCTCTGCCTACAATGCCTATGTTTCTTTGAGACCACTGGAGCCTCGTCCTAGGGTCTCTCTTCTGGGGTTCAGGAGTCTCTGTTAAGCTTCTTGACACAGCTGGTGATCCCAGCTCTGGTCATTCTTCCTGCATTTTGCAAGTGCCCATGGGTAATTGTCCTAGGGACAAGTTGCAAAAGCCAAAGGCACCATGAAGGTCAAACTGCAATAGAATGTGCCCTGATTTTATCCAGGAGATTGATGCGCAAATCACCTTGATTTCGATTTGGCACCAGGGTTATAAAATGCACTTGCAATCACCGATAACATGTAAGATCAGGCCCAAGCGTGGGACACTGTATTTTATACCCTCCGTGGAGTTTTCCCTAATGCAACCATAAATCAGCCTGCAAACAGGGCATTTGGTCCATATTAATAGAGACAACAGTGAGAAATCCAGGGTGCACTAGGTAGGAGACGTTTTTAGAACTTGAGAAGAGCTGAAAATCTTTAGTTTGTATCAGGGCCACCCAGAGGCAACCTTAAGGGGCAGAGCGCAGCAGAGGCTTTAGGGACAGTCACAGAGGAACGCCAACTACAGGATCACCCAGCAAGAAGTGTGTGAGCATGACTACGTGTGTGCAGAAATTTCTATTCTTCGTATTTAAACAGATTTAGAATCTTAAGGTAAGAGAAAAAGTACAAACTAGGAAGTAAAGTCATTCTAATGTACAAATTCAAATGTGGAAAAGAGAGCGAAGTCTGGCAAAAAGGGGAAAAATAAGCAATCCGATCAGAAAACCACTGTTCATAAAATAACTTCTAGCAGTAACAACTACATTGTTCCTACTGTGTCTTTTCTGCCCGCCCCTACTGAATGCTTATATCAAATGAATATATTTTAAGAAAACAGTATCTTTTAAACTCACAAGGCACAAAAAGAAAAAAAAATTGATTGAAAAAAGCCCCAAAGGGCTGGGGATATAGCTCAGTGGCACAAGCGCCTGCCTGGCAAGCACAAGGTCCTGAGTTCAACCCCTGGTACTGAAAAAAAAAATTGATAAACTCACAAGGTAGCCACCATTCTTTCTATAGCCATTTAATAAGAAATACAGTGTAGAAGATCTTACTGGTCTTGGAATGTCCAGCTCAATATCAGAAAAGGAAACAGAGTTAGTGGTCATCTTTCCTGGGGTGGAGAGACAAACTCAGCTCCATATGTCCCTTAGGGAAGCTACTCTGCTTTCCCCAGCCTCCTTTCCCCCTCAACACCACACACCTCATTCACCTGTGGGCATCCAAGTCAGCAGGTGCATGGCCTCCCTCAATGGGCTTGGGAAGAGAACACCTGTGGGAGTTCCCAAGGAATAGAGGGGCAAAGAAACGTAGGTTGCAAAAAATAAATAAATAAATAAAGCAGAGAGAGAAGTAATAACCTTGTATGACTTTCTCTCCACTTTGATATTCTTTTAGAACTTCAAGATTTCTCCCTTAATCTAAAGCAAGTAAGAAAACATCTCATGAAATGATTCATCGCTTGGTGGTTACACAGATTTCTCCCCAAGTAAAACACAAAACAGCAGGCTAAATGTGCAAAAAATTAATAAATAAACATCATCCACTTAAAGCAACTAACATTTCCTTCCATTTGAAGAAAAACTATTTCAAAGCAAAAGTAAACTGCATATATGTCTTTTGTAAATTATCACATTTGTATTTCTGGACATCATTTAAGAATGGGCATGGCTCCTCTGCTCGGTAGCATATTCCTGCACTCCATCCTACTGAGGAGGCAGACACAGCAGGATCACAAGTCAGAGGCCAGCCTGGCAACTTAGACACTGTCTCACTCACCTAAACTAAACTAACATGAAATAAACTAGCATAAAACAAACTAACATAATGTAGACTAACATAAAATAAAATAGGAGTACAGCCCACTGGCAAAGCACTTACTTGGCACAAGGCCCTGGGTTCAGTTCCCAGTACTGGAAGAAGGAAAGAAGGCAGGGAGGGAGGGAGAAAGAAAGAAGAGGGAGGGAGGAAGGAAAGAAGGAAGGAAGGAGAGAATGGAAAGGAAAGAAAAGTGGCAGAAGAGGCTGGGGTTTTAGCTCAGCAGCACAGCGCCTGCCTCGCAAGCAAGCACAAGGTTGTGAGTTCGATTCCTGATACTGGAACAAAAAAAAAAAAAAAAACAAAGAAGAAAAGTGGCAGAATTTGGGTCTGAGTTAAACAAAGGAGAGAAATCTGACATCACTCTTAGAAATTACCCCTAGGGCCATGCTGACTCAGCTGGAAGCCTGTGTCTCAGGACACTCTCATTCTATGATTTACTCTTTCTTTCACTTAAAGTGGAAAAATATGCATCCCTTTTTTTTTAAACCATCCTTTCTCTATTGGTATCTTATCAAGGTAAGAAAATAAGTTACTAAATACTTCTGTGTTATATTTAGAAATAGGGAGAAAACTGACAGGCATTCTTAGAGCATTGAGGGCAAGTTTATGTTTCTGATATCTGGCTTCATTGTACCCAGATTAAACTTGCCAACAGTTTTATATAATTTAAAACAAAAACACAAAGCACAAATATAAGAATAAAAGGAAGCTAGCTCCCTGCTGCACTCTGCCCAAGGTCGGGATGTCAATTTAAAATAGCAGAAAAAGAGAAGCAAAGTAGAAATCTACATTCTCTTTCCAAAACACAAGGCTGCACTCTGATTGGATACCCACCCTCTTAGATGCGCATCACACCTCCATGCTCCCAGCGCCCAAAAAGGCTTCAGGGTGTCTACCCACCCATGTGCACACTGAGCTATGCCTAAAAGCAAGAAGAGGCTTCTTGCCAAGGAGTCACTGCTGACCCAGCCCAGTGGATTTACAAAATGGAATCTTCTGCTTCTGGGCAAAAAGAACATTTCTGGGTAGTGTCTGCTGCAGAGAAGATGCAGACAGCATTTAGAGGAACAGGCATAGGCTGGGAAGGTCCAGTTGGCCCGGGATCGCCTCTGTTGTAGCTCTTGCCCTAGGCCTCCCAAAAACCTGAGCAGCCAAAATCCAGGGCTGGTAAGCCACACCCCCAGCATCTGTGAGGCCCTGGGTTGGGTTCTTAGAAAAAAGAAAAATTTTCAAATACAGGGTTTCACCATATTTGAGAGTTATAAAAGCACCCCTCCAGTGAGAGTCTCTCTGATAAATAAATCCAAGAGAAACATCAATACACAGGAGAAAGTGATGCTGGCACATGTACTTTAGAAAGGGCCAAGTAGGGCGGAAGGCTGGCCTAGAAAGCCCACTAGGATTTTATAATCCTTCTGGAGGTGAGACCTCAAATGGCAATATTGGGGACCAAGGAAAAGGTAGCAGTACAAGATGGTCTTAAGAAGCAACAAGGTAATAGGTAGGGATTAAAGAGTACATGGGAAGTCTCAGCACCCAACTCTCAATTTTGTTATAAAACTAAACTGTCCTAAATTTTTTTTTTTAATTTTATAAAGAAGTCTTAGAAAAAAAGCAGTAAGTGCTTCCGGTGGAGCTCATGATTAGCCCATCTGGGGAGAGTGTCCTGCGGGATTCAAAGAACGCTAAGGCAAAAACTGTGACAGTGCTCTGCCTGGGAGGTGGCATCAAATCCAGGGCAATGAGGATCTGGGTGCTGTCAAAGTAGCATTTATAACCTAACACATTACAATCTGTATTATTAGAATATCTGACCATCATTAGATATTGTAAGTGGGCATGAGGCAAGCTCATCTCTGCATCAAAGAGTTAATACAGCATCCTTTATAGATATTATATTTGGGTTTTTCTATTCTTGCTCCTCTATTAGTGATTCAAAGGACTGATGTGGGCGAGGCTTCAGAGAATTTCAAGAGCGGGTGGATGGCAGCGCTGTGTTTAGCAGGTGAGGGGCCTCCACTCTCCCTCCCAGGGCCTCACCCCCTGTGGGGACAGAGGCCAGCACAGGGCTTTCTCTGCCATGTATTCCTCTCCTCTGCTGAGCACCTTTTCTGTGTCAGAGCGGGCACGTGTGCCTCTTGCTCTCACTGTCACCTCGCTCTGGCATCTTCCCACCACTCCGCTGCTTCTCTGCCCCCAGGAATCCCCACCCTCCAAGACACCATTCTTGATAATTGTAGTTTATTGATTTTCCTAGCGTTTGCTGCCCCTGGCGCCATGTTCTTCATCTTAGGTGGGCGCCTTCCCTTCCATCATCTCTGCATTTCTCTGGAGCAGAGTGTTTCCTGGGCTTACCCACAGAGCCGCGCTGCCCCAAAGCTGTGGGGCCACACTCCCTCCCTCAGCCCCACCCTCCATCCACACTGAGGCCCTGAGAGTGAATCCGGACAGAAGTTGAACTAATCATAGCAGTAAGCATGCACTGGCATTTACCGCAAGCCAGACACGTCGGTAGGGTCCGTCACAGGCAGGCTCCACGTCCTCCCAAGTCCCTGTCACCCATCACCTGAAGTCTCAGCTTTTCAGGGCTGCAGATGGGACATGGCCCCAACCTGGTACACACAGATTCCTAATTCTCACCCCCTCCCCAAAAAAAAAAACCACTCATTGATTCAGGCGAAGCAGATGATGGTACAGGGTGAAGGGAAAATGACCCAAGATGCAAGTTTAAAACAACAAAATTTGCTCCGCAAGATTAGTTTGATCAGCAGATTCCCCGCCCACTACTATCCAGACAGAGAGGGTCCTGGCCAGCTTGAGCCGGTGCCCCAGATGTCGAGGAGACGACCTGACTCCCAAGCTGTTTACTTCTCAGCCATAAACAGGAAGGCCATAAAAGGGGCCCCTATTGGTCACCCCGTCAGGGGCTTCTCCCTCCTCCTCCCTTCCTTTTCCTCATCCCCCAGTGCACGTCCACAGGCAGAGCAAGTGCTTCCTCAAGGATGTCACCACCCCCAAAGTGCCTTCATCTCTTGGCTGGAAATTCCAACCAGTCATGTCACACTGAGTTAGAGAACAAGGGTGGACACCTGTGCCAGCCCAGACAGCCCAGGGACACAGGAGTTACAGCAACCGACAGATGTTCAGTTACCTATCACAATCCCCACTGGCAATCTGAGTTTCCACTAATGGATACACAGAAAGAACCCATTTCCTGGAAACACAAAACTTAGATTAAAAAAAAAAAGTCCTGGAGGGAAAGGTATTCAGATCCTGAGGGGTGAGGACAGAGCACGGGAAGGAAAGATTAGACACAACATCTCAAAGAATGCTCTCTATCACATTCTTTGCAAAAGATTCTGCCCCCAAAATGTTGGCAGGGGAGTCACAGCTGGGCAATGATGTACTCTTGGAGATGGTGGTGCACATGGCTTCTTAAAAGACTCTGATAAATCCTATAGCAAAACACCTTGCTTCGTTGCATAACCAATTTTCCAAATGTTTTTACTCAGAACATTGTATTTCCACAAATGACCAATTTACTTTATGACATTTCAATTCCCCATTGATATTTTGGGAACCTCTGCATTACTACTACATGAGATCAGGTGTTTGGGATTCGCACTGTTCTCATTCTACCATCACTTTCCTTGTCAGAGTCTTAGTGATAGAGCCAATGGATGTGGCTCTCTCCACTGTTTGCTGTCCTGTTCCCCCAAGAAGCAGCTGAGCACAAGGAAAAGATGAGGTGGATGGAGATGCTTGGCTCAGGGAGGGATTTGTTGAGGAATGGCTGCCTTAGGGTCCCGGGGGATCTCTAGATTCCAGAAAGCCTTGTGCTGTGACAGCCCCTTCTCTCTGGGACTCAGTGACATTCAGCCCTATCCTCCTCAAACCCACAAGTGGAAGGTGACAGCAAAACTTCCAGATATGCATTATATGGAATTATTTCTTCAAGGTGTGTGTGTGTGTGTGTGTGTGTGTGTGTGTGTGTAAGGAAGATCGACTCATAAAAAAATTTTGAATGATCCTAACAAAAAGTTTTTATTTGACTGAGCCCTTAAAAAATGTATGTGACGGGGCTGGGGATTTAGCTCAGCGGCAAAAGCACCTGCCTGGCAAGCGCAAGGTCATGAGTTCGGTTCCCGGTACCGGAGAAAAACCAAAAAAAAAAAAAAAATGTATGTGACTTTTCCCTGGCCTATGGCCCTCACATCAGCCAGGGAATGTCCCCAGTACCTTTCATCTCTCATTGCAAGAAGCGTCTGTGGGGTCAACCATTTCACTGCAGCCTTACAACCCCCTAAACCATCTCAGACCCTGGGCCAGCTCCCTTTGCTGCCTGCATTTTGTCACTTAGTACACACCTGTTACTCACTGCAATTTCTTGTTCTTTAAAAGTCAGAAGGTTTCAGATGGATGAACCCAACCTTGCTCACTGATGTCTTAACCTCACAGTATTTTTAAAAAATGTTGTCTTTGGGGGCTGGAGGTTTAGCTCAGCAGCAGAGCACCTGCATGGCAAGCATGAGGTCATGAGTTCGATTCCTGGTACCGGAAAAAAAAAATGTTGCCTGTGTGTACTAATTAAATAAGTGCACTTAAATCTCTGAATGTACGACCTCTGCATAAAAGGAAGATTCAGCAACAATAGGAACACTTTCCTTGTTTTCAGATAGTTCAAATAACTTCAATTTGCTAAGCTCTCCATTCCCTAATGCCACTGGAAAATTAAGACATTAGCTACCTCTGTGATCTTGGGCAACTTTCTCTACTACTCATTACCTGTGTGATCTTGAGCAAGTTAATAATCATCTCTGTGTCTTGATTTTCTCATCTGGAAATGTGAACAATGATAGTATTCTATCTATATCCACTAGGTTAAGCCAGGTTTGCTGTGTAAAAAATAAATCTCCAACATGTTAGGGCATTACCATGATGAAAGTTGATTTCTCCAACTCTGTATCTCATGCTGGTGAACATAGGGCAGGGGGAGTAGTGGAAGGCTTTGATTGTCATAATGGTGTAGAGTTCCAGAGCAAAGAAGGTTCCAATCTTGGCCTACGTATCCACAATCAAAGCCAAAGAGAGAAGGGGCTGTCACAGCACAAGGCTTCCTGGAATCTACAGCTCTCCCTGGACCCAGGAACCATAAAGTCAGAGTTGGGAGGAAACTGAAGAATCACACACTCTTAAAACTTCGACTGGAGTGCTCGCTTCGGCAGCACATATACTAAAACTTCGACTGGAAAGGGACATACATTTTTTCACTCACATCCCAGTGGCTAAAGCAAGTCATATGTGCTTGCCTAACTTCAAAAGGGGCAAAAGCATTAATGTACAACCAGGAGAGCCACTGTGATACTTCAGAGCCTTCCCTTCCACTGGCCTTTTGCCAGTTAATTTTAACTCTCAGATTGACTAAGAGTCCTGGAAAGGTGGCTGGACCATGGATGAGCTATGTTCATTTCATCCACTGAGGTGCAGAGCTGATATCCAGTGTTGTTAGGAAGGACTGGCTGGAGGAGGTGGGTCACTGGTGGGTTTGGAGGCTACATCTCTCCCTGGAGCTTTTGTGCTCTGCTTTCCAGCCACCACGCATGCACAACTTCACTCTACCATGCCCACTGGTATCATGTTTCTTCTTTGAAGCCAACTGACCATGGATGGAAGCCTCGAAAACCATAAGCCAAACAAACCTCTCCTTCTTTAAGTATGGCTTTCAGGTATTTTGTCCTATCCATGCAAAGCCACTAAACAGAACCCTCCAAAGGCTCTGGACCTAATGTTATATTTGTTGCTTGGTATTTCTTTTTATTATGGGTATTTATTTTTATTATTATTTCTTTGTATTATTGTTATTAATTTTTTACTAGTACATGTTTGTAATCAATAGTGATTCCACTTACAATGGGGAGTTTGTACATGTAAATAACACATCTTAATTCTTTTGTGTCTTCAACTCCCTTTCGTTCCCCTTCCTATAACTTAACTTGATGCTTCTTTACATAAAGAAAGAGGACCCCCCCCCGCGCAATTGGATAAATTGAATCTATCCCTGGCTAGATACACTTATGAAGAACTCTAATGACTTCCTCATGACTGAACCAGCTTCTGTGAGAACCAAGTTAACCCCTGGCACTTTCAAGCCAGTGCCCAGCACTGGGTCTGTAACCTACCAGTGTGCAATCTAACTCTATTATAGGCCATGTACATACCTGTGACTTTCACTCTGGACCAACACATTCACACTAGATTTGTTCTGAAAGGAAATTGGGCCTATCATAAGTCATCGTTAACCAATGTGGAAAATTGCCATAATGTAGCCAAACATACTTTGGTGTGTGTATATATCTGTGTGTGTGTGTGTGTGTGTGTGTGTGTGTGTGTGTGTTGGAAATCTGTGACTCTGAGGAAGTCCTGTCCCTTTCTGGATCCCTGTCACCACTTCTGTCCATGGATGAGGGGAGGAACTAGATGATTGCTCCATGGTGCCAAACTCGGGGAGTTCTTGAAGGATGTAGGCACAGGTAGGAATACTGGTTGTGCAGTGAAAGCCAGAGCAGATTAATTATGCAGGCAGCCCCACCCTCTGTAAAAGGCCCATCTAGGAAGTCAGCCTGCAGGCATTGTTCCTTGGGATATTACAGGCCTGTGTCTTTGCCCTCCTCATCCAAATAAAGCTTCCCAGCAGTCCACTTCCGGGCCTCCCCATACCCTGCCCCCTCCTGCTGTCACTGGCTCACAGCTGTGGGTTCTTTTCCTAACAAGCTTTTCTGGTCAGACACAGGGATGAAAGAAAGGGCCTCTCTGATGAAGCAGTCAAACCCTTTGCTTGGTGAGTCTCTCCCTCTTTTTTTTTTGTGCCAACTCCCAATTATATTCTCACCACATGCTTAGACTTTTTTTCCTATTTGAATGCAAAATAGATCAAATCTAAATCACACCAAAAAAGCCCCAGCCAAGGAGCGAAGTATTTACCAGCTGAATATCTTAGGCAAGTCCCGTAATCTCTGAGTCTGGATGTTCACCTGTAAAAATGGAGATACCTGCCATGTTTCTGGGGGCTGCTGGTAAGACAGAAGTGTTTTGCTACATTCAAAAGACCTTATAAATATAAAAGGGTGGGGAAGCGTGTCCCCAAATTAATTGTGTTTTGATTTCTTGCAGTCAGAATGTAGTAGTTTTCTACTGCTGTGAAATAAATTACCATGAATCTAGTAACTTGAAACAGTGTTCATTTATTACCATACACCTCTGTAAGCCAAAAGCCCAGGTAGGCTCTCCTGAGTTCTCGGTGTCACAAGATCAAAATTAAAGTGTCTGCCGGCTAGGCTCTTATCTGGGGGCTCTGCTTCCAAATTCATTTAAGTTGTGCACAGAACTTAGTTCCTTCTGGTGATGGGTCTGATGTGTTTTTTTCCAATCAGTTGGAGGTTGAAGTTGTTCTCTGCCTCTCTAAGCTGTCCACACTCCTCCTCATGGGGTTCTTTCCAAAGTCAAAGCCAGAAAGTGAGCACTAAATCTTCACCTGATTGAGTCAGGTGAAGACGATTGATCTCCATCTTTAAAGGTCAATTTACTTAAGATTTTAATTATACCTGAAAAAGCCCTTCCCAGGAGTACCTTCATGAGTGCCATATGTGATAACCAAAAGAGGAGACTCTGCCTCCCTGTCTTTGAGGGGGCAAGGAATGTTTGTAGAACTCTGCCTACTACACAGTAATTGGTAAACTGTCTAGAAAAGTAAGATGATAAATGCTCAGCAAAGAAAGGAGTTTATAGCTAAGTGGTTTGGGGACTCTCGGGGTAAAACAGAGTTTTGCTAGCTAGCTTTCCAGTTCAGGGGATATGGAAGCCATTGTTATGCCACTGTGTTCAGTGACTTTTCAAAGCATGCGACATCCCCCACATTTATTAAGTGATAACACTCTTCTCTGCCAGAATACTGGTTATGCTTTCTAAACCACCTTGAGACACAGTTATCACTGTTTTTAAAGGAATTATAGTTTTTCATGTAAACAAAGGCCCAAAATGATTGGATTAGTTAACTTTCTGTCACTGTGACACAGCACCTGTTTCAGCTAGTTACAAGTGGCCATGTAAGGGACCTTCTACTGTGCCTCCTACAAGGGCCACGTCCACAATACCTCCACCTTACCTGTGGGGAATGCATTCCAAGACCCCCAAAGGACACCTGAAATCATGACTAGTACTAACTCTATGTAGACAGTGTTTACCCCTAGAAACCTATAATAAAATGTAATATATTATCTAGGCACTACAATAACTGTCTTAGTCACACCCCTCATCATCAGGATATACTACTAAACACCTACAACTTGGAGGAAGAGAGGTTTATTTTGGCTAATGTTTAGCAGAGGTTTCAGCCCATGGTTAGCTGGCTCCAGGACAGAAGTGGCATGGCGGAAGGGTCTGAGTGAGGAAAGCTGCTCATGGAGGAAAGGAAGCAGAGTCAAGGAAGGAGCCAGAAAGGGAGATATGACCTTCTGGGTCACTCCCACAGTAATTCATCTCTTCTGACCAGGCCCCACCTCCTTACATCAGGTCAGTTTTAACACCCCTATAATCTAATCACCTTCCAGAGATTCCAAATGAGGCTTTAGGGGAACATCTATATATAAATCATAATAATAATAAACTAGAACAATCATAACAGTATACTATAATAAAAGATAGATGTTCCTCTCTCTTTCTCTTAAAACATCCTGTTGCTCTGTATCCCTCTTCTTCTTATGCATGACATGAGGTGAAGCACATGATGAAGGCAATGTGTTGTAGTGTTAGGCAGCTACAGGAGGGTTACTACATAACAGGCTGTCTTAGTTACTTTTCTCTCATTGCTGAGACAAAATACCTGATGCCCAGAATTAAGGAAGGAAAGGTTTATTTAGCTCACAGTTTGTGAAGGTTTCAGTCCATACTCAGCTGGCTCCAAGGCAGAGTGCCACATGGCAGAGGGCAACAGTTCATGGTGGCAGAAAATAGCAAAAGCAACAAGAGCAAATTGGAGGAGCGACAGGGAAAAAAGCAAGCCTCTTTCCCTCCTTCATACCATATGCAAACTATCCACCCCAAGGCAGGTGTAGCACTCATACCCATAAATCAATCGTAAACTCTAGAAGCCTGCCCCATGACTGCACGAGGTTTTAGGGGGACATCCACAAACCATAACATAGGCAGTGCAATACTGCAACAATAAATGTGATAAATAAGATGGCCACTAAGAGGCAAACTGGAGGATGCCACATACCACTTGGATACACTGGACAAAGGGATGACTCATCTCCAGAAAGGACAGAGCAGGATGGCACAAGATTTTATCACACTATGTAGAATGGGACACAATTTAATATTTGTGGAGCACTTGAAGATTTTCCACTTAATATTTTTGCATAATGGCTGACTATGTATACCTGAGAACATGGAAAGCAAAACCACTGGTGAAGGGGAATCACTGTCTTGTACCACTAGCAACCCAAGAAGGCTGCAGATTCCACAGTCATGCTCACTGCCTGGAAGGTGGTGCCTACCCCAGAACTCGGTTTCCCTTGGGTTAAGACTGAAAGACTAGAATAAGAACCATATCTAGAGAGGGACAAGGGGGATAGGGGAGTGAGGAGAGTGTGAGGAACACGATCCCTCAAAACTAGGCATTTTCCCATTGTCCTTCTGGGCTAAGCTGCTCTGACCACCCCTCAGCAGAGAGGAAGGTCCCTTCTTGGAAAGCATATCCCTAACAAGCAGTCCCTTCTCCAGGTGTCACCCCCACCCCTTGTGGCACAGTCCTAATGTCCCTTTCATCAACTGACCCAGGGACATACCAGAGGCCAGGCCTGCGGCCACTCTATCACCCAACTGTGTGCACTTGAAATAGGAAATGGGTGCGTGTCATACATTCCCCTCTTCACTAGCCCCCACATCAATTCCAAAATAATTTTTGCTTTCAATCCATTTAACTGCTGCTTTATTCTTGATTTCAAATGTTTTTCCTGAAAGAATCCCAGCCATCTTTCAGGTAAATACCAAGTAGGTTGTGGACACTCTAATAAACTGCAACCTCAGATAGAAGGTTACTCTTGCTAGAG